TTCTGCAAAAGCTATTGACAATGTAATCAGAGAATGATAAATAAATATTTGCCCTTGCAACAGTCTCACTTTCTGATATGTAAACAACTTTTTTATCGTACTGGAATAACAAATATTTGAACTAATCAATTTAACGAGCTACGAACAATTGACCTGCTATCATTAAAAGCTATCGACGCAAAATTGTAGCTGACTGCGATGAAAATATGTAAACTTTATGCTACTCGATTGCTTATTTAAATAAATACACAATTACTATTTCTGACACGCAAACACACTACGCGAAATACATAGTTAAAACTGTACACTGACGTGTTTGTTTAATTTGAAAATTTGCCCTGGTATGGTACTTTTTATACTCTGCACATGAAGTGTACATTATTATATTATTATATCAGGTTTGTGGGGGGTGAAAAATGCAAAAGGCAGAATATATATTATACTATATGTATATAAAAGAATATATATTCTTGATCAGCATGACATGACGAGTCGATTTTATCTGTCTGTCTTTCCATTTGTCCGTATGTACACCTGAATCTCAGAGACTACAACAGCTAGAGACACCAAATGTTGCACAAAGATGCCTTATGTGTGTACGCTGTGTCAGTTCATTTTATTTTTTGATGCACCGATAATGGGGATTTTCCGTAACGCCTTTCGTATTATCACCTATGTCTCGGAGACTATAACACTCAAGGACACCAAATTTTAAGTCCAGATTCCTTATATATATTAAATACGCAGAAAATTTGTTTGTCTGAAATTTCCTCTACACATGTGTACAGAGCATTTTAAAGTCTGGACACACGACTTTAGCTTTTCACTTGATTTTAATTATTTTGCAGTGTAGAAATGTCTACTTTGAAGAAATGTCTACTTCTTTCGAATACCTACCACTTATTTAAAATTCAATACTCAATCAGTATCAATGACAGACAAAAAACTTATCTTTCTTGCATAATTTAGGCACCGTCCATTAGTTTGATTTGAAAAGTTTATTTCTTTGTGCTTTGTCAGCCCACTAATTGCATCTCGATATAAGCACACTTATACGTATGTACTAAGTATATACACAAGTACGTTTGTATATAGTTATCCATGTAAACGTAAACAAAATCTAATTTACTGTCTGCAAACACAAATATGAGGCTTCGTTTAGTTGGATGGCCATTGAAGCGGCACTCGGTGTGGCGCACAGACCAGCAAAAGATGATATAAAAGTTTTATAGGTGGTGAGGTGGTGAGGTGGTTGGGTGGTTGGGTGGTCGAGTGCTTAGGTGGCTGGTTCGTTTGTTGGTTTTTTGGGTGTGAGATGCAAACGCAGCTTGTCATAATTTTTCATGCGCTATTTAACATAATGAAGCAATAAACTGCCGTCGCGTCTGACAGACGCGCACAAAACGCAAAAGTTTAAATAAACAATATTTGTTTGCGAACCCACTCCCACAATTTCCCTTTGCCCCCTCATATTATTTTCATTTATTTTTCCACAGTCTGTGCAACAAGAACAACAAAAACAACAACAGTCAGCATCTGTTGTGCAATAAGCAAACAAAGCGGCAAGCTTAAATAAATATTTATAAAAGATTTATATGAGAAAAAACAACATTGTCCGAGTGTCTGGGAAAGTGCGGAATTATGAACTGAGGAAATAGACTGAATAAAAGTGACAGGAATAGAGGAGCCAGTGTGAAGGGATAGCTTAAATCTGCAATGCGCAAATATATTCTCTGTTATTGCAAATTAAATGACAGTAATAAGCTTTAGTTTAGTAAGCGTCTACATTTGTGTTTCTTAATCGTTATTTTCTCTTTCGTAATACCTTTTAATACTTTCTGTGCAACAAATACAAATCAACGAATGTCCTTCAATAAGCTGCAGTCGCTTTTGTTGCTTTACAATTACAAATGAAAATTCCTTTAACTTTGGCTCACTGTTATTTTTTTATTCCTGCGCTTAAGCAACTGATTGATAATTATTTGATCGAAACTTGTTAGATACTCACAATTAAGGTAAAGGGGATAAAAGGCTATGATGAATGTAACACGATTGCAAAAATATTAGTTCAGTATTTCGTAGCGAAATCGAAATGAAAGAGGAGGTTTACATACTAGCTAATGTTTTTAATGAGGACTAATAGATTCAATGTATTAATAAAATAAAACAAGAATATGTAAACCAATATCAGTAAAAAGTTAAATTAAAGCAACAGGTTACCAATTACTATTACTATTACTATTACTATACTAATACCTGCAGCTGCGTATGAAAATCGTATATAGGATTAGTCGAATTGAATACAAAACCATACATTAGGGTATCATTTTTAATAAGATAAAGACCGCACGCTCTATACAGCATTAACAATTGACTGTGGGGCACAGGTAGCTTTGAATCCCTTTTGCAACTATTGCTTAGTTAATATAGCGCTAACAGGCTTACGGGATACGACGAGGTAAGCATCTCTTAGCAAAATATATGAGACTCAAGCAAGGCTTCATGTTTAATGATTACCTGCGAGCCGCGTTGGGACCAACACCCGGGCTCACTGCCTCGTACGTTCTCAATAGCCATCAACAACAATTGTTGGGGCCGCTTTGCGTTCGGCCACATTGAAGAAATCCCAAGACACATGCGTTCGCAGCTTCAAGCTCACCTCTCACAGCTTTCAGAATACAGCTTGTGGCGCAACTGGCAACGGGCACGTAAAAGGGATTCATTTTAATACATAGGCGCCACCTGAGCAGCTCTGAGTGCGCACGAACAGCAAATGGACAATAAACAGATGTGGCAGCCAACTCGCTGGAGTGCAGCCAAAAGAGCAACTATGCCAAGATGAGGGACGGGATGAAAAAGTTCGTGGGCGGACAAAACTTTTGCATACAAAACTTTGCATAAAAAAAGGAAAAAAGTTGTTGCAATGTTGGGAATTTAATTATTCAGGCGCACATGAAACACCTTAGAACGGAATTTTTGACCCGAGGAAAGAGCAAAAACCGACAGCATAACTTTTCTGACAGTCCCTGTGTCTGTTTGGATATATTTTTAGAGTGCGGGTTTACCCCAGAGCGTCGTCATCGCACTTCCATTCACATACACACACACACATAGACACACATACTATATGTTTCTGCTTATGGGCGACTAATTGCTGGCTTAGCTAAAATTAATTTGAAGCTTCAAATAATATTAGCCATGGGACATCCCACAAACACACACGAAACTTGTCGCAGCACGTGCTATAAACAAAATACATACATACATATGTGTTCATACAGTCGCAGCCAACTGAATAGATAAATCTATTGATTTTCAATATTCCATGCATGAGTTCTTTAAAACACGGCATGGCTAACTAGATTCATTAAAACTTTTTTTGATTAGGCACTTGAGAAGAATACATTCATTATAAAGATACAATATTCACTTCAAATACTAGTCCGTACTAGCTTTGCTGTCTACCTTGGCTAAATCTGAAGTAAAATAACGTAAATTTCACCTTTTTTATTACCACTTCCAAGATGTGCAATTTTTATTTGAACAATTAGTTTCCAGCCTATCGAACAGATTGTTTTAGTTCTAATCCCTCTCTTGATTTCAATATAAATGATATAGTTTTAAAAGCGCCAGAAGCTTGCAATTCAATATATTAGCAATGCATTTTTTTGACACTCTATAAGGTACCTATTTGTGTGTCTGTTATTGTATGCATGTATATGCGGCGTATACGTAATGTGTGCCTTGGCAGGTGTGTGATGTTCGCTCCTAATTAGTTTTAGTTACTGCTGTTGCTGTTTCAGTTGCCAATGTTATTGTTGTTTTTGTTTTTACTCTTGTTGTTTTGGTTACCCAAATACAACAGTGATTTTCATTGAGCGTAGTTGCTCTATTTGCAATTAACTCACACAATTGCATTGCTCTATTTTCAGACCATTTCGGGTGTGCGAGTTTGGTTTTGCACGCCTGCAGTTGCGCTCATGGTCACTAATATGCATAATAATTAATTCATATGGACGGGCAAATTGTTAATCTAATTTATTCGTTTGTGGTGCCGTCCATCGATAATTGATTTATTGAGCTGTAATAATTGCAAATTGATTTCAATTGATTCGCAGAAGCTGCTAAAGACTAAGTTCAATAAATAGAATTAATTTTGCATGAAATATGCAACTGCTGTGCAGTTTATAGTAAATTCCAGATTCTAATACCAGGAAATGTTTTGGGTATGTAACTGTGTGTGATTGAGAACATCTGAAAGTATTTTAGGGGACTGATCGGAATATTTGACTCGTTCAAAAAATTAAATTTAAATTCAATTAAATTTAAAACATTATGATTATTACTCAAATAGCGTTTACGCGTTTAAGCAACTCGAAATAGATAGTAAATTTATACCGTTTGTAGTGCAACGTTTTCTTAAGAGGAGCACAAGAAACACAGCAATTTTTACAACAGAGTACCAGAAAAGTGAATTTTAGAATCTTTGATTAGGAACTAGAGCGATTCACAAATCTAAAATGTTGCTCCACATGACATAATAGTATATATTTTCTAAGCACTGGGCATATATTAATTCGATTAATTGTTTAAATTAATGTCAATTGATTTTTACATAGCAGGTATGTATAGTTCTTGCAAAAGCTTAAAGGCGTGCGAAGAAATGTGTATTTAACTGCATTTCTTGCACTTGGGAGAGGAGTCACCAAGCAACTTTAGATCCTAAGTTTTCATGATTATGGTATACAGGAGTCTAGTATGCTTGAATTTCACTTCCATTAATGCTACAACCGTTTATCTCATAATGAAGCCGAAGTTATAACATTGTTTGGACCTTAAAAATTAGGATAAGTAATATATTTATCAAAAAATGCATACTTAATAGAAAGTATAATATATTTATTAAATACTAAGCCTGTACCAACATTCACATTAAAATGTATACTAGAAGTTTGCATAAGTCTCTGTCTACTACACTTAATGATACAATTTCCACTTACCTTCGTATAGCTCTCTGTGGAGCGTATATCGTTGATGGTCCAAGGCAGCATGGAGGCTGAGTATCGCGGATCGACGGATGCGCTGCCGCGATATGTCAATGACACCAAGCGCGTCTTCATATTGAAGCTTGTTTGATTCACTATGTATATATTTATGTCAGTATTAACTTGAAAGCCAATATGCCAATAATTAAGTCAAAGCACGCAGACACAAAATGCAAATTACATTTTCCTCCTCTTGTTCTCGTTCTAATTTTTGCTTTTGAATTGTTATTAAGCTTGGTGTAATGCAATTGCCGAGCAGGCTAATTGCCTTTTAATTGTTTTGCAAGCTGTATTGGCTGTTTTTGAAAACTTATAAAACAAAAGGGAAAGGGAAAGGCGAAATCAATATTTAATGAACATGCGACAGCGGCAAAAGCAGTGGCAGAGGCAGAGGCGGCAAAAGCGGCGCCAAAGAAGACGATGACGATACCGAGTTAGCGGCCCACTTTGATAGGCGCTCGCGCACGAGTCCTGCGATTGCATGAGTCACCAATTCTCTGTCTGTGTGTGTTTTTTTATATCTGTGTGTGGGGGCTAGGTGCGTAGGCGTTGGGCGCCTAGAGGATAAAAGGTAGTTTGTGGGGGGTGGCGATAGGTGGCAGTGTCTGACGTGCTGTTATGTGCGGAGTACAATGACCAACAGTCAGCCACCTGATTGCGCCACTTAGCAGTGTGAAGGGTCCTGAGCGCGTGGAAGAAATGCAAATGCAAATGACAATGCCTTGCAAATTTATTATCGATTTTTCTGTTAGACTTTATTTTACTTGATTGCGCTTCATTTTTATTCACAGCCAAAGCTGAAGTAAAACGATTTCTTTTTTTTTTTTTGTGCTTGACTTTTTGCAATTGGCGGCGACCGCCTGCCAAGAGGAATGTGAGGACGAACCACCACCACCGCTACTACCACCAAAGTTAACACCTGAGAATCACCCCTAAGAAACGACTAGCGACCAGCTATCAGACGAACAGACAAACAGTCGTCGATGTTGATGTTGATGTTGGAATTTACTTCTGCATAAACATTTTACTTTTCTAAGGTTTCACACAGCTTTTCGTTTGCTAGTCAACCAACTTGCTGTTTTAGCACAAAAACACGAAAACAACGCACACACACACACGACGCCCACACACTCGTCTCTTATGTTTGTGTATGTGTGTAATTTGCAAAATGAAAAGCAATTTTGCGCGCTACCAGAAACAGACGCCAAGCCGCCACGAAAATCCGTCAAGCACTGAATTGGTGGTCGGCTTCGGCTCCAATTCTCCTGAACAACACGAGACATCTTTCTCTATGCCACGACCATAACAAGGAGTGCATGTCCTTCGTCCTGCGCACAAATCGTAATACCAAGCGCGCAAACTGCTTTTGCTCTACATTTTATATGGTATTAAGCGGAAATAAGAATGCTTGAAGTAACTAACGAATAAACGCGACTTTAATTGATTACTTTTTGTTTATCGGCATTCATTCTTTTAAATGTTTATGAATGCGCGTCGTCTGATTGCGTACTACTGTTTCTCTCGGCATTCGCCAGCTGCGGGTAACGATATGCGCACATCTGGCAACACTGCGGGCGAATGTTTGTATCACAACAAACACGCTGCTAAAAGTGCTACCAATCATATGTTGAGTGCTGTAAAACGAACGTTATGCTATGCTGCCACATTGAACCTTTGAGCCAAGTTAAGTGATTTAGTCAGTGTTAAGACGCGCTTCAAGCAACAGGTGTGCAGATTTGATTAAAACGCGCTCTCTGGTCTGCGAGTGTAGGTACGTTTTCGGTCATCCAACGAGTTGTGAAGTAGAAAAAGAAGAAGAGACTTTCACTGCGATTCACAAGCCCAAGCAAGACTTAATTAATGCGCTTCGCACGCGCTTATGCCTTGGCTTCCATAGTTGTACGCGCGTGTGTGTATGCTTTTTATGCTCTTGTCTATGTTTGTGTGCGTGTGTGTTTTATATGTTTATGAGCCTTACCGCTCGGCCTGTGAGCTTCAGCTTAAGTTTTTGCATTCGCACTGCCTACGTTTTTGTTTTTGCCTAATATATCAACTTCTATTTATTAATTTCTCACCAAGCTTGAGACAAAGACAATGGTGTCATGTTTTAGTGAGAAAAAGCTTTTAAAAATAGCAATAACGCAAAAAAAATTAAACACATTCACACACATCTGTCGCCAATGCCCTCGCCGTTGTGTTGTTTGAAAAATACCGTTAGTTGGATCGCTAGTGACGGTTTAAACCTAATTTAAATAATGAGGAATTTGCGCTCATAATTGATTTAAGTAGTGCAAGAGCCAAGATGTGAATTTGCATCATTTTCCACATAAACATATGTACATACATACATACATACATATGTACTATGTATGTAAACAGCGAGAAAATTTGCTTTGTTGCAAGTGCAGGCTGCTTGTGACTTTTGTTGTTCCTCTGCCGATCTTGTTGCAACGCAAATACATACATACATACATATGTATGTACGTATTTATGTATGCATGTGCATATAGACACACACACAAGCTTGCGCCGTGCATGCACTTCTGTGTGTACTTAAATGGTTGGACAAGTTAGATTCCACATTCCACAAAGCGGGCGCAGATGCAACAACACAGCAACACAACAACAACTGCAACAATAGTCAAGAAGGAAATGGCAACGGCAACAACTTATCTATCGTATTAGTTTGTGAGCAAATTTGAAAATAATTGCACATTCTAGACAATTTAGTTACTTACGGTGTCTGTCTAGCACGAAGATTTAAGCAGTGGAAAATAACAAATTAGATTACATATGTACATTCGTACATACATATATACATACACACATATGTCTGTATGTACGCACATTGAACCACAGACACAATCACACAGCTTAGAGACAGTACGACAGGCAGACAATACGATATTTTTTATAACTCAGACAAACCCACACACATGTCTGTTCGCCTTTGAAATTTTGTGTCAAGTTTCTTTACCCGTTTGCCATTGACACATGAGCTCTGTTGGCCTGGCCTATAAGCCCGGCTCACAGACACAGTCACACATACGCTTATTGAACTAAATCTATAACCGCTGGCCTTAATTAGCATCACAAAACAGAAAAAGAGCCATAAAAATATGTATAAATAATAATAACCTGAAGTTATATATTGTTATAAAAGCAAAGAACGCGCGTCTCAAGAAAAATAGTCACTACATAATTAGAACTCAGCGAAAGGTAACCAAAAGCGCACAGTGGTTGGAAAAGGTTGAAGGTGAAAAGTGAAGCGGAACAGAAAAACCCCCACATACACACACTTTCATAAGTAATTCTAATGCTAATGTGGCATGGGCAATGAAAATTTAGGCCTATAATTCATTCATTAAAATTTATGCTGTTTGTCAAAAGAAATTTGTTAAAGAAGCATACATCTTTACAAATTTTACCATCTGAAATGTTAAAAAGTCTCTTGAATGATCCAGGAAATAATTAGAAGTATGATATTAAGCTCTTAAAAGAATCAAAATAGGAATCAAAACCTAACAAATTACTTTCATAAGTATTAACCCGTTCAGTGTTTTTAGTAGCTTGGAAAAAATTATCACCCATCACCAAGTATTTATAGATAGAAGAGGAAAACTAACTACTTATCCTAAACTTCTTATTATCATACATATTCGTACAAACCGTAAAAAGTTACAGGGACAAGATAATAGTTCCTGGGAAGCCAATCAAGCAGACTCCCGTTCAGTGTTTTTAGTAGCTTGGAAAAAATTATCACCGATAAAACCTTTAAAAGTATTTATAGATAGAAGAGGAAAACTAACGACTTATCCTAAACTTCTTATTATCATACATATTCCCACAAACCGTAAAAAGTTACAGGGACAAGATAATAGTTCCTGGGAAGCCAATCAAGCAGACTCCACATAAATATTTTTGCCTAAACAGGTGACAGTCTTTCACTTCCTATACTCTTAAACAGGCGACAGTCTTTCTTCCTACTCACTCTTATCCAGATTTCTGGTATAAGAAAATAAAGCATCTTTAACACTATGTACTTTAATAAATGCAATTTTTGGCTATCATGTTACTTACACATCCTAGAAGAATTGAAATTAGGCTAAATTCCCGTTTAAATTTAAACCGTATTGGTATAAACTGTAAAATAATAGACCAGTTTCTAAGCTAAGCTTCAAAATTTCAAAATGATAAAAAATTAAGTAGACACTATTAAAGCATTTAGATGAGTGATCCAATTTAAATTTGATTTGTTTTTGTAGATATTTGAAAGTCATAGAAACGAAGTTGTAATAAAAACTAGTGGATGTTCCACTTTAAATTTGCAATCAAAAATTTCCATTTTTTTGAAAGTGCAACTCACACATACTAAGGTTTATAGCAGTTTCTGACACAACTTTTTCCAATAAAAAAGATTATTAAAGATAGTTAATAAAACGGTTGGAAATAGTTTATTGAGTGCAATCGAAAAATTTCAATGTTCCACAAAAACGAATCAAAATTTTAAAGTAATATACCCGTACATACTTCTGTACATACTATATATGGTTATTTGGGTTATAAAATGTTCACTCTGTCTTCAAATCTTTGAACCACACCTGTTTGTTATTGCACACGGAAGTTAAGACATCACTGTCTGCCATTTGTCAAATTTCTTTTCGAAGCACCCAAGCCGCCTGCATCCTCCTCGAGCCCACGCTGCACCAAGCAACATTCAAAAGAATTCATAAGCACACGCTAAACCAATGCAAATCCCAAGGCATTTGCATATGGCCCGCTCACCTTTGATTCTCACACAACACACACACACACACACACACTCTCGCCGACACTCGTTAACATTTCCAACCACTGTGCGCCTGCGCAGTGGCGCGCGATCCGCTGTCTCTGCGCACTATGATGATGGTTATGATGTATTGGTAGTGGTAGTTGTAAGTGTAGTAATGGAGGCACCTGTAACCGGCCGCTGGTTGTCTGTGCGTCAGCGTCAGCGTGTGCGTGTGCCCGTTGCGTCTTATTAGAAGTCGCTTGTTTGTTGTCTGCTTGCGGCTTGAACAGGAAAGATAGAAGAAAAAGACCAAAAATGTTGAGAAAACCGGTTGACGGAAAATGAAAGAAAATCTCGTGTATTTATTTTGCTTTGGGACGTGCTTGTGACGATGTCTTTTATGTATTTTTTCACAGTTTTAATTTTCCTTCGATTTTGGTGAAATCAATGCGAGTAGAAAGTGAATTACCTGCGTAGTTGCATTCGTGTTACCCGTTGGCGTTACGCAAAGTGGAAAAGAAGAAAAGTGAAAAGCCAACTCACACAATTTGCCAAAATCTCCCCACTCTGATATACATATTTGGACACTGATGACGAGATCGTTACATGCTGCAAAAACCTGAAGCAGACAAACAACAAAGAGACGCCGGCAACGGCCACTATCAAGTGGCGCATTGGGCTCTTGACTGAAGAGACTGAAGAGACCATCGCACAGACGACTGCACGCTAATTGATACGAACACCTGCCAGCACCGTTCGTGCTGCTGCCGTATGCGTCTTCTAATCCAAACGGCAACAGCAACGGGTGGTGCTGTCGCTGCCTCGTCCCAATACAATTACACCAATATGCGTGAGGACGACATCGAGCTGGCCATTAAAGTGGTAAGTGTTGGGGAAACATAGCGGGAAAGGATGTGGTAGTCAAGTACATCCACGTACGTATGTAGTACGAGTTGCCTCTGTGGTTATGTGATGGATGTGTGGGCAATTCTGCGAAAACAGATTAGATAGATGAGACATGCAGTCTACTGAATCATTTATAGAGAACTTAAATAGAACTTGTACATGCTATCTAGAAAATAGATTACAACCATTAATTTGTGCAACCGTACTTACGGTTACATTGCCTGTTTTGAGGAGGACCACATGTTATAAATAGATAGGTAAGAATCGATATGGCCATGTCCAAAGGCCTATAGATCTAACATACATATACAAGTATGATATCATATCATATGAGCGATATATGCTATTGGAAAATTCTCGTTTTTGGCGGCTTACAAATTAATTTGTTTGTTGACTTGAAGTAGAGCTACGTTTAATTCAAAGCGCAAGGTATTAGATGTTACTTTCAGCTGATATTATCTAAAATTTAAGTGTATTTAAGCTCAATATATTATTCGGGTGCAGCAATGTTATTGGCTATATTGTATTCAATATGTATTCGTGATTCAATTTAAACAATCAATAACTAAAGCTTAGCATACTCGTATATAGTATATGAATTGCATTTATTTTGGATAAATCTTGGAACTTTAACTCAAACGGAAAATAAAACCGTTATTCATTTACCTTTCAACAAAGACAAATATCATTTAGGATCTGTTACAGATACTTCAAATCGAATAAAATCTACACATTTGGACAATAATTTAGGACATGTCCATTATAATCTCATCACATATATTCTGTTATGTTTGTGGAAACTATATCAGAATTGATAGACTCTTATGGTTTAATGGTTGTACATCATGTTTTGGTACTCACTCACTTATGTCTTAATCTCTATTTGCAGGTCATTGTGGGAAATGGCGGCGTTGGGAAATCGTCTATGATTCAGCGCTATTGTAAAGGCATATTTACGAAGGACTACAAGAAAACTATAGGCGTTGACTTCCTGGAGCGCCAAATAGAAATAGATGGCGAGGATGTGCGCATCATGTTGTGGGACACAGCCGGTCAGGAGGAATTCGACTGTATTACCAAGGCGTACTACCGTGGGGCACAGGCCTCAGTTCTTGTATTCTCTACCACAGATCGGGCGTCCTTCGAGGCGGTCAAGGACTGGAAGCGTAAAGTCGAGAACGAATGCAATGAAATACCTACGGTTATAGTGCAGAACAAGATCGATTTGATCGAACAGGCGGTCGTGAGTGCCGACGAGGTTGAGACCCTGGCGCGACAGCTAAACTGTCGTCTGATACGGACCTCTGTAAAGGAGGACATCAATGTGGCATCTGTCTTTCGGTATCTGGCCACCAAATGCCAACAGCTTATGACGCAGAGCTACGAACAGGCAACGCAGGCGCACAACCAACAACATAACTCCCATCATGCGCCGTTCAGCACGCCCACAATTAGTGCCTTTAGTCCCACGTTCACAAAGTCCAGTAGTGGGACTATAGTCCTGAGACCTGCCAAGAAGGGTTCCAATGTGGCGCGAAAGCGCAAGATAGTGCTCAAAAAGTGCGGCATATTGTGAGCAGATGGTGGAAGAAATATCTGGACCGACTGTTCCCATAAAACTCGTACTGTGGCTTCCAACAATCGCGTTGCTCTGTGTGGTAATTAGTAAGTGGGGCATATTTAACGGTTAATTATTTTAGTTGAAAATCTGTAACTGGCGCGCCGCTCATTAATGCCTAATGAAGTCGTTGTCGGCAACGTTGTATACGATATGCATGGACCAAGACACCGGCCGGCAACTCAGTCAGTCGATAGTCATGCCAAGCTAACCAAGCGTTGGATTCCACCTCCAAGGCGGCCACAGCCATTCACTAGTCGTGCACAGACTCGGTTTTCGCATGATGTGGTCGATAAGCCCATAAGACCCATCAAAAATAAAAATACTCGTATACATATACATATATAATCGTTCAGCATGCCCGTATTAAAATACACCCACACAGATAGGTACATATACATATATATATATATATACCATATATACATACGTTATGCCTACAAATAATGCAATGGTTTTATGCACTTGCTCTCAAAACTCTAGCCTAATTAGTTGAATAGATATGTATTCCGAATATGTGTATTATGCCCACTTTTCTATATACAAGTATAACGGAGACTGATGCAGCACTACTTCCATGTATGTGCATGTGTATGTATGTATATTTAACTGTTTCATTAGCACCCAAAGCTAAGCAAACTCACACGCTAGCCAACTCTCTGGACCTCTGGAGCTCTAAAGCTTTCGTGTGAAATCCTTGCCAATTAGCATTAACAAATGTGCAATTCTTCTTAATTATTAGCTTGGCAAGCATATGCACATGCACATCCATTACGGCATGTCACAAAGCAATTATGTAGCCCAGTATATTATGCAGATGGACGTTCATTCTGCCCGGCCGATATTTACGTATGTATACAAAACTTTGAAAGTATTCGCATCTTGTGGCCTGAACCCACGCTGCTTGCATTGTTTGACTCGCTAGGCTAATAATATAAAACATTATATAAACTGATTAAATGTATTTACTTATAAAGGCTATTAAATATGCAATTAATAAATTATTTGTAAAAATTTGAAGCAAGTGTTTCAACAATTGCGTACCTATCATATATAACTAGAAATCTCATTGAATGGTAAGTCGAACCAAATAACAAGTTCCACCCAAAAGAACTCACCAATAAAAGGCTTACTTACAATTAAATAAATCTGAAGTAAAAAAAAAAAACATACCCTTCAGGGGAGCACCCAGAAGAATGGCATAGGTTCATATACTATGGTGGAAAGGCGCAGTTAATCAAGATACGTCAGATCACTCTATCTATACTAATATTATAAAGAGGAAAAATTTGATTGTTTGTTTGAATAGGCTCTGAAACTGCAGAACCGATTTAAAGGATTCTTTTCCTGTTGGGAAGCTACACTATCCCCGGTTAACATAGGCTATATTATACACCTAGTCCTCGCTTAACGCGGGGGTTAAGTTCCTTGAAAACGTCGTGTTAAGCGAAATCGCGTTAAACGAGCCATGTATTTCCATACAAAATGAGGAGTTACGTTCCTAGACTTCGAAAAATGCATACAACAATTTTTTAGTGTTTAAATTGATTAGTTTCAAAAACATAAAAAGGTTTATTCAAATGGCAAAAGTAAAAAGAAAACACATATGTATTAAAATAAAATGAAAATTCATTATTGGCATTTATAGCAGCTTTAGTACGAGCCCTAACCACTATTAATTGGTACGGCAAGGTTTTTTTCGACAGTGCAACTTTCAATGACTCATATTTATTTTTCGATATTTCACCATAGCTGTTGCCCAAATGAAATTTTTTTTAGAATTAAAGCTCGAACTTCCTCACAAACTGGCATGCCACGTGCCATCGTGCTCATAAATCAGAGAATAAAACTAAAACTACAACTAAATGTCATATGTTTTTACTTTTCCTTCATCACAATATTCTATTTACCGTTACTTGTCCAGTTTTTGTTTACATTTTACATTTTTCACCGTTTTTTTTTTTTGAAAAATAATGTTGCCGTACCAATTAATAATGGTCAAAATATTTCGTGTAGTATGAAAGTTGTTTTATTTAAATTGAGTTTTTTCAATTTGTTGATATGAAACTTGTGCATGTTTTGATATTAAATTAAAGGTAATTCAATGACCTTTTTAAAAAGTATAAATATGTTTGGGCAATCATCGCCTACAAATAAACATGAGTCATTGAAAGTTGCACTGTCGAAAAAAACCTTGCCGTACCAATTAATAGTGGTTAGGGCTCGTAATTACATTTTTTATACGTTAACTCCCCTTGCGTGGCAAAAAAATCAGTAATTTTCGACTGTTTAATGGCTCTTAAAGCTTCATAGCAGCTCTCCTTATATGGTTTATTTTCTTTTGCTGCAATGTAGAAACTGCAATTTGTATAAATTATAATTATAATGGTATAAATCATTTTATTTCATTCAACGGTTAAACCATTTCACTTATCACAAGAATTTTAATCTTACTATGTGCGCGTGTGAAGAAATAAAGTTTTACTCACCTTAACAACTATTTATGTATGGAGTCCATACTATGGACATACGAGTATGCACTCATTCTTACTCTCATGGTGTAGAAAGTGGGACTTCCCTTTTTCTACACACATTTCATGTGTGGTGATACATACTACAACTTGTATACCCAAAGATACTCATGCAATAATCGACAAAATAAAAAAAACGATTTTATCAATCGCGTTAGAACGAGGTATTTCACCGCGTTAAAAGAGAAAATGTAGCAATTTTGCAATCGCGTTAGACCAAGTTAGCGTTAAGTGAGGGCTAGGTGTATTTGCAAAAAAGATAGGGATCCTTGTTATAACGCCAATAATGTAACTCAAGGTGTAATAAAATTATTTAAAAAATTCCTATTCAGGAATTAAGTGTTAGTTCACAATCATTCTCGAAGCATTCTGCCATTTTAAATACTATGGGAATATTATTCAAAAGTCCCTCAGACTAATATACCCACAGGAATTTTCAAATTCACTAAGCCCTTCTGGACTGCCTCCGCATTGAATTGAAGTTAAAAATCGGAATTCGAATCATGTTTTTGCGAAATTAAATCCCTCCGAGCACGTGAAATGGGACGAGGCTGCTTATCAAAGAATTGCAGGACAATTTAAGTGTAGCAAAAATTATCAACGGCCCAGCAGCTGGTCAACTACAAGTATATACCATATACCGATGATCCCAACTGATCTGCCAATCCAAATTTCCTGTAAAAAATCTTTCGCGTTAACTATTAAGAACTCCCAAGGCAAACCTTCGAACTAGTAGGGATCGCGACCTACGAAAGGAGTGGTTTACTCATGGCCAACTGAATGTTGACCTATTGCGGATCGGAGCTCCTGAAAATCAATTTATTTTGCTGCTCTACCTGAATGGTACAATAGTATTTTAGGTTTGTGCAAAGTGAAAAGTTCCACCCAGAAGCAGACCCCGCAAAGAGTATACATACTTACTTGTACATATATTCTTGATCAGCATGACAAGACTAGTCGATATAGCCATGGTCATTATGACACAGTCCCGTAGTAAATGAATTATTTCATTTTAAAATTATTTTAAATATTTATATATTTTTGGAATTATTTAAGAATTGAGCCCGCTCTTTTCTTTATTTTTTTAAATATCGAAGAAGAAGATATAAGATAATAAATTTAAATAATTGTACTCTTCAGAAACAAAATGTAAATAACACCAAAGAAAAATTTCACATGAAAAGTTTACCATTTTTTATTTGATTTCCGTTTTACATGTTTTGTAAGCTTGACAATTTGTTTGTTATACCTTCGTTTAATCATTATTTTTGTTGTTTATATTTAATTTTTAAAGTAAAATTTTGTTGTATGTACAGTCGCGTCGTTCTCATGTAAACATGTGTTTGTGGCGCAATGTTTTAATATTACATGTATAATTTGTTTTTATTCTTCATCTTTTTAGTAAGTAATGTAATAAAGGCAAAAATATTCGTCGTTTTATGTATATACAGGAAACACAAGAAATACAAAGTTATTCATCAAGTGAGAAAGAGAGATAGAAAGGAGGGTAAACTAGCTACAAAGCTGAGCATAAAAGTGTTGGCAGGGGCTAGGCCCATTCCGAAATTTAAGTGAGTGTTGTGGTTATGTGTGTTTGTTTGAGTGTGTGTGTGTGTGTGTGCGAGTGTGCAAAAAGTGTTATTAAAATTCCTATAAAAAATATAATTTGTTAATTTTTTATTCACTTTTTACTTGCTAATAACTAATGTGACTTCATTTTTCCCTTGCTGCCTTGGCACTACAACACAAAAAAGGTTTTGAAAAACAAATTATAAACTAAGCGATAGTTTTGATTGGTTTAAATATTAGATTTTAGTCATTTTTATTTGAAATAAAAAATCTTTTTCATTGCATAAGCTAAACTTTCAGTTGGGCTTCTTAAAAACGAACGTGTGTTTGTGTGTATTTGTATGTATGTAATTGTATGTATGTAGGTGTGTTTGTGCAGCAAATGTGGATTGCGGTTTGTGTTTTTGCTGCCTGTAATTTATTTATTTTTCGCATTTAGTATTATGCGTAGACTATAGCCAACTACATTAGAACTTTGCCTTTAGCATTAGATGTTTTTGTTTTTGCATTGCTTGCATTTAAATTTTTAAATATTAATCTATTGTATCATGTATATAAGTTTCGTGGTGAGGGCTGCCCATAGCGTACACTTGTATGTTATCTGCCGGATCTGTGGCCTATACCTTATGGTTGTGTGTCATTTCATTATCTTTCGTATCCTACATAGGTTCTATAAATAGTAAGAGTGTTTTTCTTTTGTTAGTATCAACTCCATACACAATAAACACACGCCGAACATTGAGATATCCATATACTCATTATTAACATGTTCATGTCCATATCCATACACAATTCACTATTCGGAAATGGGAAAATCAGCCTCATCCTTGCCCTCCAACGACCGATACTCATCGGAATCCTCGCTTATGGTAGTACCAATGGACATTGGTAGCATGGGTGCTGTGCTTAAAACGGGATCCACAATGTCCACGTTAACTGTGGGCGGTATTGTGGTGGTGGTTGCCATTGTTGGTGTTGTTGTTGTTTGGGTTGGTTCAAAGATTTTAGAAGTTGATTGAGTAGTACTAGTATCTAGGTTCGTTGTTGTTGTTGGATTTGCATTTGGATCGATTTCTGCTTGCATCGTTGTTGTTGATGTTGCTGAAATTGTTATTATGTTGTTGGTATCGGTATTGATAATGGTGGTGGCCACAAGCGCCGATTCCGACTCAGCATCCACTTCCACATCTTGTTGTTGTGTTGGGGATTGTGTTACTATATCAGCAGAGGCCAACAGTAGATCCAATTTCAATTTGCTTGATGCCGTTGGCTGCTCTGTTATCACAGAATGTGGTTTTTGTTGTTGCTGCTGCTGCTGGGGCTGCAGATGTTGTTGCTTTAGTTGAGTTGCTGCTGCAATTGTGGGTGCAGGCGCTACTGCTGCTGTGCCGCCAGCAGCAAGCATTTCATCCTCCTCACTGACGCTAATATAACGACAGCGTTCGCTCAGCAACGAAGCCGACTCATCATCCTCCTCGTTAACGCTGCTTATGCTCATCGTTCGCTCCTTGAAAGTGAGTTGGGCGCCCACAGATGGGCGCGTCGACGATGTCACTACAATCGCAGAATCGGGAACATCCCTAATAGCTGGCAGTCCTGCGTTTCCTCCACTGAGCTGCTGCGGGAGTGTGTCGCTTATGGAGCGGCTTATGCCAGATGTAAGTGCTAGATGGAGTTTAAAGAGAATAATAAAATTAAATTCAGTTTAAGGTAGAATTGAACACAGTAAGATATAGCGACATATCCTCTATCAATTAAATATGAAATTATAGATTGAAATCAACACAGTTCTCGCTTAGACACCATAAATACTAAAAGATAATAATTATCGTTATTGAAATAAATCGTTTTAACTTCTATCGATTTGAATTGTGATAAGGTACCATAATAGTGGGCAAGATAATTTAGTACTACGTTTTATATAAAAATAAAATATGTGGTTCTAACTTCCTATCAATTTTAGATATGATAAAACACTCAAATACTGTTCAATGAATCTTATTTTTAATTTAAAAATTCAGTAGCATATGTAGTTCTCATTTAAATGTTTAATGTAGGGTGTTTCTATGCCATCTTTCAAACAATTTAAAGTACCGAAATAAAAAACTATAACTCGTGTCATTTTATATGAACTACTCAATGGGTATGTTCATGGATTAGATAATGTCAACTTTCCAAGATTATGTTATCTCAAATCAAAATATGATCAATATTAAAATATCATTATATGTGGGTCGCTTATCGATAACCCCATTCTTTTCATACTATGTAATCAATTTAAGGCCTAATAAAAATTCATATATTTGTTGTATTTAATATACATATGTAGCTAACAAATTAACATTGAACAAATAAAAGGATACTTGTGAATACCATATTGTGTTCATCCCTGGCTCTACATTTGTAGGTGCATTTCACTTACATTGTAAACGACGTTCTGAAGATCGAGTCAGCAACGGTGACAATTTAATGCGATAAAACTTTGAGCCTTTGATGACACGGTAGCGATTCTCGTCCTGCAATATGGAAACACTCACGGTATTAATGTTTTCGTTTGGATTAAAACAGCAATGCTTACTTTGCGCGCCTGACAGTACTCCTTGTCGATGACTCGCCCAATGGCGTAGTAGGGTATGGGTATTTGATTTACTTCCGTTATCGCCCCCGCATTGACTCCCTCAACTGGGGCTGGTGGAGTGCTCAACTGCAATGCGGTTAAGCTGTCGCCGTGCACAAAGTAAAGTGTGTTCGAGTCCTGCACTACCATGAACTGGCCATGACGCATGCTCCATACCACAAAGACCAGATCGCCCTTGGCACAGCCCTCTAGGGTTATGTACCGCTGACTAGCGCTGCTGGACTTGGACCGAATCAAAGAGCTGCCACTGGCGCCACCATGCTGCTCATAAGTGGAGCTAAAAAGGATAAAAATATGATAAGTGAACAGTTTTGGAATAGGAATTCTACTCTTCGTTCAATGGGCTCTATACACAGTTGTGGGATAGAATATTTACTATTTCTGTGACAAGAAAGAGCCTTAATTTTCTACAAAAGTTGCAAACAATGAATTAAATGAATCTTGAATGATAAGACAATCCATATCAACATAACTTAAAGCACTAGATTACTCTCTTACCATTTCATCGCTGCAACACTCGTCTCCATTTCCTGTCGCCTAACCTTCTCCTGATTCAACTCCTCCTCAAGCCGGCACTTGTCTCGGTTTAAATACTCGATCTTCTCCTTCAGCCAGCTATTACCGTCCTCATTAGTGAGCACATCCAGACGTGTTTTCAGCTGGAAGTTTTCCTGCGTTAGCACCTTATTCTGTTCACGCAACATGTCCAACTGACGTTCCTTGTCTTCGAGCATGTCCTTTAGTATGTTAACGTTAGCCATCACAGATTCTGAGTTCAGGGGCAACACGCGCGATTGCCATAAAGACCGTTCCGCCTCGACGGCCTCGCTGATGGCGCGTTCCCGTTGCGCCTCCATTTCGATGCGCTGCTGCAATAATAGTTGTTCGACATCTATGCCGCCAGCACCGCCCCCACTGGCGCTACTCGTCGGCCGCTCCAACTTCTCCAAGCTGGTGTCTGATGGTGAGCGCTCCATCGAAGTCATCAGCTTGAAACGGCACCGCAGCGATTCAATCTCTGTTTTGTGCTCATGAATGAGTTCCTCGCGAGCTTCGGCCACAGCGGCTTGTTTTTCCAGCTGCGCCGTCTTCAACTGATCCCTCAGCTCCTCCGCCTGGGCCTCTAGGGTTGCGCATTTAATATTCAGCGCTTGTGCATCAGCTGCTTGGGCAGCGACATCTTCTTCACGCGCCTCGCACTGCATTCGCAACACATTCCACTTGTCCTGCAGCAGCTGCAACTCCGACCGCAGTTCATCTTGATAGCCTTGGGCATCGCTGCGAAATGTGTCCAAATTACATCGAGCCGTGCGCAGACATTCGATGGCCAGCTTCGACATGGCATCGATTCTGGCGCGCTTACGCTCGGCCTCCCCACGCATGCTCACCTCCGTCTCCTCCGTCAGCGTGCTCCGAGCCATATGCTCCACAGGCGCGCAGGTAGAGGTGCCAACACTCGTTGTCATGATGGTGGCAACTACCTGGTCCTCCTGCACCACCTTCTCGAATTCTGTCTCCGTATCCGTTTGCGAGTCATCACATGCTGCAGTGCCCCGCAGCTCGTTCAGTCGCTGATTCTGTAGCACCGGCGATTTTTCCATCAACTCCACAGCCGCAGCTACCTGCTCCCGCAAAAGCTGCTCCATGCGCTCACGTTGCTGCTCCCCCGAGCGTGAGACGAAAAATTCTATCACAGGTCCCATGTCGGGCAGCTGCACATCAGGCGTCAGCTCAGGCAAATGTGTGGTCAGCATATCGATATCCGAACGCGTTAGGTTCGGCAGGCGAGTATCGAAAGAGAGCGGGTGCTCATTTGCAAACGCCGGGGGCATGTCGCCCATTCCCGGAAACAGTATATTCAGGAAATGCCCATCAAAGTTGGCATTGAACTCCAAACGGCGACGGATCTCCTCACCATGGATACGATCGAAATCGATTGCCAAGCGGGAAGCCCACAGCCGAAACTCATCTGAGAAGATTTTGCGACGCACTACCTCCGTGACCGCGGCCACATAGGTGCTTGGCGCTCGATGAATCTGCTCGATTATGTTGATATGCCGCTCGGCACGTTTGAGGCAACGATGATAGAATAGTAGCCGGTTGTCGAACTCACTCATCCCATTCTCGATCCATACGATGCGCTTCAGTCTAGTATGCAAATTCTTTCCGAGCTCCTCCTTCGAGTTGCTAATGCAGCGGCAATGTTCTCGAATTTTGATGTGATTTTCCAGCATCACCTGCAACTGTGATTTGTGGGAGAGGCACAAGTCGGGCAGCACCGAATTGTCGCGCAAATTCAGAGCCCGTGACTCATTCTGTTGCAATGATGTCGCCTGCTCCTTTTGATCCTGAACCATTTTTTTGATTTTGTATTTGAACTCTTCTAGTTTGCACAAACGATCGCTAAGACCTTTAATCTCTTTTACATCGCTCTGCTCTGCCAGCTTAATAATGTTTCGAACCTCCTGCTTAAGTTTCTCGTAGATGTCTTCGTTGAATGTCTCCAAACCTTGGACGCATTCATCGGACATTAGTTGAAGTGCATTATGGTTGCCCTTAGAGGTGATCCATTGCAGCAAATTGAGATTAAGACGACGTGCCAAATTGGAGCTAGTCGTCGAGGTCTGAGAGATCCGTTCGGCTTGGTCGTCCGTAGCTGTTAAGGCCGCCGTCGTCGTATTCGTCACTTCCTCATCCTCCATTTTCAGCTTCTTGTTGGGAGATGTGCTGCTCTTGTCCACATCTCCACCTGCGGACTCAGTCAGCGTTGTGGCAGTGTCACCGTCTATTTGCTCTCCTGCCGCACCCGATGCCGTCGTCGCAGTGGCCACTACCGATGTCTGTTGCATCTGTGACCTAGAAAAGACATCGTCATTGTCGAGAAGCTCATCAAAGCCATGAAAATCTGCCTCGGCTAGCGCCATTAGCCCAGGCAGAATGGGTATACGCGAAAGCTTTTTGAGATCATCACCAAAATGAAGCAGTAAATTTAAATAAGCTGGGCGCTTTTGCAAATGACGATCGAAAGAGAGGCAAAAATTATGGAAACGATCCCGAAACTCGTTCGTCAAATCCTCCATGTTGGCCACGACCGCGGACCAACCTTGCTGTTGCAAGTGCTGGTCGTGAACCAAACGCTCACACACATTCTCCTCCTTGCGTGCCAACTCCCGCATCTGCTGCGCCAGATGAGAACGCTGTCGCACTGTTTCCATCACTGGGGGAAGCTTGTGGCTCTCCTCCACTTGGCGACGCAGCTCCACATCCGCATCAGTGTTGGCTATCGTTGGAGGCGGGCGCTCATCGCCGGTTATTAACATGTAGATGGGGTTTGTGTCGGTGCCCGCCGAATAATACGAGACTTGTGTAGACTGTGTAAGCATTTCGCCTCCGCTCACCAAGAGTACAATGTTGGCAGCGGGTATGCCATGCAGACGCTGTATTGTCTCCTTTAGGTTCTCCACGGAGGAGAGTGCGACCGTCATGTCGAAGCTAAGCATGCGACCGACTTCGACGTGAAATACGTACAGCATCGTTGAGGTTTAAAACGCGCGCTGGCTGCCTGTATTTACGTGTGTGTGTGTGATGTGGGTGGGTGAGGTGGTAAATTGTTTTGTTTCTCTTCCAACTCGTTTCGTTCTTGACTCTATTCCTTTTGGCAGTGCTTCGAATCAGTTTTGCTGTTGTATTTGCTCAAGCAAAGAGACAGCTCAGCTTTTAGGTGTTGGTGGTACCACCTCGTATTTATGCTGAAAACATAAGAGAACATACAAGTAACAGTCAGTTAACAGTGAATCACTCAAGAAACTTTAAATCATAATAGAATGTTAAAATTGTCAGCTAACATAAACTGTTCGTAGCTCGACATTTTGCGAGGGATTTGTGATTCTGTTTGTATATACATAAGTACATATGTATGTACATAAATACTATTAATCATGCACGCGTTTAATGTTGAAATGTTAATGACTAATGTTAATGTGTACATACATTTGCATGTATGTATGTATGTACATTGGCATATATTTATGTACATAAGTACGTAAATGTTATTTTTACAATATTGTTTACAATTAGTCTGGCAAACTTTTGCGCTTTCGTAAGGCCGACAAAATGATGTGATAAGCGTGCACGCTTCACACACACACACACATACATATAGTCTATTTGTATGCATATACATATGTACATATGTATGTAGGTACATATGTATGTGTGCATTATTTTTAAAATAGCAAGAACTAGATATGTATGTATGTAAATTCTGCTTTAAACGCACAAACACTCTGGAATACATACGCGCAACACATTTGATGACTTGATCGTTGTGTTAACAGAAATAAAAATGCAAACACAAATTATTATCAATATGTACATACATATACATATGTATGTGCACATGTATAAATGTATGAATGTCCGTCCAGTGTAGTAAACACGTCTAGACTTGCGGGCGTAACGAAAAGCACTGACTGAGCAGCCTGCGCCGGCGCTCTGTCGACGTCCACGCAGCGCTAAAAGAGCAGAGAATATTCATGCGTTTGTTGAAAACGACGCGACGTTACACGTGCGCTGTGTATACACATGCATACATATGTATGTATGTATATAAATACAGACATGTACATACACATAAATGAATTTATGTATGTGTGTATAAATGTACACATGATCTTGTATTTCAAGGACTGGCTGAAAACTGTCGCGCATGTGCTATTTTACCTGCCAAGTGAATTTCATCTTCGCCTCTTTTTTACCTGATGGGATTTTATATTTACCGGAATTTTTTAAATATCCCAAAACTACCGACGTCTGCGCCTGAAGAAAATAATAAAGCTGATGAAACGCCTGAACTTCTTGCCTCATTCTAAGGCAAGCGCATTAGACGTATCGCATGCATGGCTAGTTCTTGATTTAACCAAAACGCACACAACGCGTAATTTTAATGTTCATTTTTTCGTTTTCATTGCCACCCGCTTGCCGGTATTGATACATACATAATGGAACATAAGCAAACATAGAAATGTACATAAGTACGTAAAATGCCGTAGGTAATTTTGACTTTCAACACATTCTCCCTCTATGTATATGTATATGTTTGTATATTTCTAATAAGCATGACAAGATATGTACATACATATGTATGTATATTTATAAACAATACGGATTCGCATATATGTAAGTACATAGGGCGAAACGCAAATGTATAAAGTTACTAAGTATATGAAAAACTTGTTTAAGACTAATGGTAAATTCAAATTTGCATTGCCACACATCAAAAATACATGTAAAATATTCGTATATATGTACATATGTACATACATATTACATATTTTTATTTTAGGTTCCCTTTGATATTCTATCAGGATTAGGGCCGTATGTACATATGTATGTACATACACACATTTATACATAAGAAAGATCAGTCTGAAAAACAGCAAAAACAACTTTCCTTAAGTTGATGCCTGTTCATGTGATAAAGAAATGTTGCCAAATTTAACTTAATTAAGATAGTTTTAGCCAAAATTACACATTTTAATGAAATCAAATCCAAACAATGTACTTTTAGTGTATGATTAATCATCAGTATAATAAGAAAGTCTATTAAACTACACGTCAACGCGTCTGACACCTTCGTCTGATAACGGTTTATCAATGCAGTAAAATGAAGAAAATAAATTATACACATGTATGTTTATACTACTTATGTATGTATGTATATTGTACATTTGTACATGTTTGTAAAAAGTGACAGTTATTAAAGCAGAAAAAGCACAATTCCGGCTGTTAGCAAAAGGCGCAACCAAAATCGCGAGAGGGAGAGCGAGAGATAGTCGCTGCTTTGGATATTCATTACCAAGTCTGTGCGTGTAGAAGGCGGCAGCATTGAACTTTGCGCGCAGATTAACTGTTAACTGATTAGGCTTAATTACAACACCAACAACAACATTAATAATAGCAGAGCAGACAACGTCAAGAGTTATCAGCGCACGCTCCATTGTGGGGGGCAAAATCACTTTCACAGACGCAAATACAATTTCCTTATATTATTTACTTATAGGTATATATATATACATACATACATACATATGTACATTTCTGTAAATACATACAAGTAGCTGCCGATCGGTGGAGAAATCTCATTTAGTAGATGTATGTATGTATGTACATATTCTTAACCAAATTTGGCATGCATAAATATTTTTAAGTTCCTCATTATCGAAATCTGTATAGCTTCCATGGGACCGATCTGTGTAAAACTAAATCGCAAAATTAGTTTGTTTATAAATATATGAAAACCGAACTATTTTGTTTTTTTTTAATATCTTACTCTAATCTAAAGTTTATCAAAATCGGTGAATTCATACACATAAAATATATACAGGTATGTTTGGAGCAACGAAGTGGATCATAGTTAAAGGTACAGAGTATGCAAAAGTCGGACGACGCTATTTTTGCGTTATGTATTTGTTTCTTATATCGCGCTCGCTTAGCACGCAAACAAACAAACAGACAGACGTACACACATACGCGCAGGGATAGAGAGCAGCGCTGTTAATTAGAAATGTCAAATTTTGTTTGTTGTCAGGTTTATTAATGCAAAGTTGTAACGGTTAGTGTTGTTGTTTTTGATAGAATGGGCTATAAAGCAACGCGCCAGTTCAAGTGTGAGTCAAATGAACCACTGCACATTAAAAGCCTGTTATTTTTACTGGTGCGCTGTGTAAATATGTACATACTATGTAAATATGTACAGACACATGTACATATAAACATATATGTATGTATGTATGTTAAATAACAGATGAAATTCGGTAATCGGCTATGACACACAGACTTAAGTTTGTATTTTATCTTATTTCTTACAACTTTTTTCTTTACCAGTTTCTCAAGTCACGCAGCTGTTTGGTTTGCAGTAAAAACAAAAAGAACATAACAGCTGATCAGCAGATCACACCACATTCATAAGCTACAACAAACACGATGCACTGCAATTCACGCACACACATATACACCAGCAGGGGGTACGTAACGTACATATGATATTTCCATTACGAACTTGGCAGCACTGCGGCAGCCACAACTTCATATCTGTGTTTGCCTGCAATGCACTTTTGTTATTTTCCATTACGTTGAAATATTTCATACAAAAAAGAAATGGCAGCCTTTCAAATAGATATTGCTCTATAACTAGTACGAATGGCTTTAAATATGTAAATTATAGCAAGTAATTGAAATTTGGCATAAAATGGCCGTTTTATACACAATAACCGAAGCAAAACACACTCAACAAAGCGCGATGAGGTGATTGGCTTTGCTTGCTCCTCTTATAGGGTTGCTGTAGAGTCGACGTCAATGTTGAACGATGGAAAAAAAATGGCAGCAGGTGTATGCATTAGCTAGTAATGTTGGTGGTAGGTGGTAGTTAGGGGCCGTTTATGGGGAAAAGGGCGTCGTCGAATGCACTGTTCTGTTTTCATTGTATGTTTATATCTAACCGTATGGCGGCTTTGTAATAGCTACATATTAATTAAAACTAGCTGACTGCACTCACCTTGTAATCTTTAATCAATTTTCACAATGCGCCTATATATGTGGATTTTCGAGTGTGTGTGTGTGCTTGTGTTTTGTTTTTAATCAATTGTAAACGCGCACGAACGACTGGCACACAACACAATTGCAGCAAATTATTATACATCAGCTGTGACTGTGTGTGGGGCACAATGCACAGCAGCAGCAGCGCAGTAGCAGCGCTGTCAACTTTAACGTCAACAACAAGAGTTGGTCGAATCTTCTCCGAATCCCAACAAAATTATTTCAGCAGCGCAGTCTCTCTCTCTTCCGTCTTCCTATTATTTTCCTTACAAACTTATTTATTTTTTATCGCATTTGCTTTGCGCGACTGTTTCGGTTATTGTTTGGCGTTGGCTTTTCAACTCTTTTTCGTTGTATATCGAAAAAGTAAAACTGCTAAAAAAAAATCGCGCGATGTGCTTGCCTTAAATGTTGTTCCGTTCTTGTTTTTTTATAGAGTTCATGTTCGTTCATTAATATGTTATTCATGCGGAAATTTGTGTTTTTTGGTCTTCTGCGTTCTCGTTTTCCCTTCTTAATCTATTTCTTTGTCTATGACAATTGCGTTGTTGTTGCTGCTGCTCTATAGCTGTTGTTGTTGGCTGCTGCTGGCAGTTTTATTTCGCGTCAATTTTATGCCATTTAAACGTTGTGGGTGCCCCGCCCGTTTAACTCTTGATGTTTATGTGAATTTCACACACGCATGTTGTTGAATTACTTATATTTCTAATTAAATTAAACGGTATAAAAATTAAATAACGCACTTCGTAGTTCTCACTGTGAATCTTGTTATGAGTGTGACCGTTCATGCGAAAAGGGGTTATACCACACAAGCATTTTGTTAGAGATGTGCTATTGCTGGCGAAAAAGTAACCGCATGATCTGACGTGTGAAACAGTGCGGTCACACTGCAGTGTAGAAAGAGTTTTCCGTGCTTTTCATTAGTTTTTTTTCCACGTTAATAAAAAGTCAAAACCTTTGTTAGTTTTAAGTAGTATAGTTAGATTGGGGTTCGCGTTTTACATACCTACTCACCGACGGACACGCAGTTGCACATACTCGAATATTGTATTAGGAGCCAGAAGCAGACAGACGGGCGGTCATGTACATACATACACTCATATTTCATTTGCCCACAATTACACATACACACATAACGTTTGAGATTAGGTGTATCACTACTTCTAATTTTTGTAATTTTAAGTACATATAATCATTTTTTCATATTTTACTTTGTATTGTAACCTAATACGAACGCCTTTAAAATGACAAACATTCAGAATATAGAAAATGTGGCCGACTGCAGCCCACTATACCTGCCACATAGGTAAGTTCATACTGGCTTGTAGTGTTTTGTGGACTTTAATAAAAACACATTTGGCCATTGAAGCTTGTATCTCAAACCGTTAGCGAAAATGGAAATCTCCGTTGCATTGCCAGCAATTAAAACGGGGAAATCCATATCAAATTTAGAGATAATGGATAAACTGAGCGCTGAGCTCAAGCCGGACAAGTTTCTGGTCCTGAAGGTAACTATAATTTTATATTATGGTAAAAATAAACTTACACTCGTATTCATCTGGAACAGGTCTCTAAGAGCACCCTAAATTACATACGCTTCGAGGCCGAGATGGAACAACGCAAACACTTGCGTGTAGCCATTGAACGCCTTGATGGTGCATCTTTGCGACTGTCCAGCTTCAGTGAATCGTTCCGAGTTCGCTGCACCGAGGCGAAAGATGAGTTCCCTACACGCCATGACTGGGACTCATACTTTCGTGATGCCCGAAATATGGACGAGATGAAGGCTGGAGAAAGACCTGATACTATACACCTGACACATTTGCCCATTCGCTGGTTTTGTCCACGACACTCCGAGCATGACGAGAACGTAAAACCGAGCGAAAGCATTTTCAAGCGCATTTTTGAAAAGTATGGACGTGTGCGCGCTGTGGATATACCGATATGCGATCCGTATCGCAAGAGCATGGGCGCTGATATCAATGGCATGAGAACCTTCAGCTTTGAGCAGGATGTGCTTTTTGAAGCGTAAGTGTAGATGTAATTGTACGGCAGCATAATTTTTACTTTATGGTGCCCTTCGTTATCAATCCAGGTATGTGCAATTCGAGGAATACTCTAGTTTTGTTCGAGCAATGGACGAAATCCGTGGCACAAAATTGGTGCGGAAATTTTTGGACAAAACTCAAGCCATAAATATTATTGTGAACTTTGATAAGGAAAAGCATCTCAGCGATTCGCACATACAGCGACGTGAGCGCATCCGTAAAAGAATGATTCTTAAGGCGCAGGCGGAGGACGAGGAGCGGGAACGGAAGAAGAAACAGGAGGCGGAGCAGTTGGAACGTGAAAGGTTTGCCATGATGTTTTATATTAAATAAGTGTTCATTTATATGTTTGCATTTTAATGCTCTCTTGCCAAGAGTTTTCTAGACGAGATAAAGCAAGGCCCACACATATCAATTAATAACAATTAATATTTAAATTTAGCAAAAACAAATACAGAAAAATAAGATATTTAGAAGCCATGAGCAAAATTGCACAAAATTTACAGGCAAAAGCAAGAACAATTGAAATTAGCCGAATTGGAAAAACAGCGAGAGCGCGAAGAGAAGCGCAAAGAAAAGCATCTGAAAAAGATCCAGGAGCGCGGTCAGGTTGAAATATCACAAAAGATACGCATCGAGGAGCGTAAGCTAATGATCGCCCAGCGCAAATTAGAAAGCATACGCATACTAGAGCAGGTTTTTGAGCGCATTCAGGTGAGCTGATAATAGTCCAAATACATATAGTGATTGAATATTAATAATCATTACGTTTTGATATTTTTTGTCTGATACAGCTAAAGGAGAAATCAAAGCAGCGGTCACGTCATCAACACGACAAGCATCATGATGACTCGAAAGATTTACAACGCGGCCGTCTGGTGGAAAAGTATAAAACAGCCACCGAGAAGTTGGTTTGTGATCAACGCAAAATCGTGCAAGAAATTAAGAGCAAAACCCCATTAATGGGACTGCTGAAGAGCAAGACTAGAAAGAGCAATGCCAACAATAGCAGCAGCGATGACGAGGATGCAGAGGATACCACCAAAAAACACAAGATTAAGAATGGCACCTCCAACTCAAATGCTGGAGAACAGGCTAATGTAGCAGGAATTGGAGCTGTGCCACCAGTTCCCGCAGCTGCTGCACAACAGGTCCTGAATCCCTTCAAGGCTGTGGCTGCTCTCGCCGCTGGCGCTGTGCCTGCTGCTGCCACTGCTGCCTATACCGCTGAGGCAGCCAACGAGTGGATGCAGTCGCTGTCTATGTTTGGTTATGGCATGCCAGGTGTGTTTCCTGGAGCTCTCTATCGTCCACCGTTACCTTTCCCGGTCTCGAGTAACTATCGCGGCTTTGCACCACGTGCTCGTGGACGTGGTCGCGGCCGTGGTAGCCGAGGCGGACGTGGCGGTTACGATGGCCACTCTTCCTCCTATTATAACCCTCGCCATTACGATGGCGATCGCTATGATGACGACGAGGGCGGAGATAGTTACTATCACAGATCGAACAGGTGAATATCATTGGAGAATGCCATTTGTTATTGTTTTTTTAAATACAATTTTTTCTTTACTATTTTAGAAATCGTTCACGCTCCAGCTCCTATTCACGCAGTCGTTCGCGTTCCCGTGGACGCCGGTAAGTTATTAATTCCGTTTTTATGCTCTGCCACAAAGTGTCTGAATATATGATAGTATTAAAACTATATAGATCGAGCTTGCTTATCGTGTAGGTTCTACGCAGTCTTGTCTAAAAAATGTAAATCTTTCGTTGCCTTTGAACTTCGTTATTTTATTCGATGTACTATATAGGGTAACTCTGATCGCATTTATTGCAATAGCTTCATTTTAAAAATAGTTGGTTTCTTGAATCTTAATTACATATATTGGACGATATGTACATAGATATGATGATCTATCTAATGCTAATAATTGTTTTTTATTTCCAGACGCTCTCACTCTCGTAGTCGGAGCCGTTCGTATTATCGCAAGTCTTCATATTCATCCCGTTCAAGGTAAGGTTAACCGTGCACCAATCTATATGTCTTTATGAGATTTTATTCGTTATTTTTAATCAGACGTAGTCGCAGTCGTTCGCATTCGCGAAGTCGCAGCAAAACTCCAGCGCAACGCAATAATCGCAAATTGGCGTCCACACGCCGCTCACGTTCAACTTCGTACTCACGTTCACGCTCACGGTCGCATTCATACGTTCGCTCCAAACGATCCACTTCAAGAAGCGGAGGCAGAAACCGCCGCAGCCGTAGTCGTAGCAGTCGAAGAAGCAGTCGCAATCGAAGCACTTCATCCAAACGTCTGGTTCTGGAAACGGACAAGCTTGTCCGCTCGGCCGAGCATATTCAACGCACCATAGAGCAGCATACCAAGGATCGGATGCGTGAAGAGGAACGTGAGATTAAGCAAAACTTTCGCCATCGAGGAAATAGTTCCAACAAGCTCTATGATAATCACGTGGATGTTGAGGTGCCTGAACAATATGATACTATAAAGACGAAAGATACGGACAAATCAGGCAATGCCAGCGAACGCTCTGATAGCCAGAGCAATCGTAAAAGCCGCCGAAATTCCCTGGCGGCATAGTTTATTGATTATTTATATATTGATTATTTGATTAAAAATGACTATTATTCTCAGTTTTGTTCGAACAAATAAATTTTAATGTTCCAACTTCTGTGGAACATTGAAAACCAATCCTTATTTCTATATCTGATGTCGAGTAAAAATGTTCAAACTTCCAAATATATGTTTTCGTTTTGTTTTTATATTATGTGTCCAAAGGTGAAAGAGGCGTGACTTTGGAAAAGTATGCATGTATGTATCACCAAACTTTCCATATACTTTCTTCTACATAAATTGTTTTTTTTTTTCGATGTACCACCACGCTCTACCGCCATTACTAATTACTTCGGTAATTCTTGGATTTGGAAACTACATCTTATTAATGGTCTGCCGGCAGATAATGTTGCTGTTTTGTTTCAAGTCTACTGTACGCCTTATCATAGACACAAACTCGATCGGTACATAGACCGGGTTGAGTTGAATTTAATTAATACAAAATTAGATTTCGGTTTTCGAGGCTTGGCGTCTTCAATATAGAAAACAGATGTCGATGTGTATGCATTTTTATAGCCTGTACCCAAAGGGTGAAAGGCTATACTAGTTTTGTGCGCATGTATGTAACACACAGAAGGAGGCGTGGCAGACCCCACAAAGTATATATATTCTTGATCAGGATGAGAAGACGAGTCGATATAGCCATGTCCGTCTGTCCGTCTGTCCGTCTGACCGTCTGTCCGTCTGTCTGTATGAGCGCAAGGATCTCAGTAAGTACAAGAGCTAGGATAACCAAAATTGGTATCAAGGTTCCTATAAGCCCTAGGCAGAACGAGTTTGTTTATTTTTTCTGATACACCCCCCCACTCCCCCGCAATTCGTATTTTTTCTTATAACTTCCGTAATTCTCGGAATTTTAAAATCAATTTTGGTAGGTACATCCAGTTAGTACTAATGTGTCCGTGTGCCAAATTTCATCATGATAGGTCAATTCTGAAGAAAGTTATAGCCATAAGTAAAATCGCTGCTCATGCGCTGCCTACAGCTCTGTCGGCAGCGCTGCCCGCAGCTGTTGTTGTTGTTGCTGCTTTTGTTCAACTTTGTGCTGCATACATACACGCATATGAACACGCATAGGTACGTGATGTAAATGTATGCTGTTTAAACTGAACATAAACATGTATTCTAATTTAATTTAATTAATTATTTTAATTAATTAATTCATTCATTTTTTTTAATAATTTAATTTTTTTTAATTTTTTTTTTTTTTAATTTTTCCTTTTTGTGGAGAGTACAGGCTATTTTACTGTCGGGCTTGCTCGACTGTAGCGTTCTATCTTGTTTCTTTTGCCTTCTATAAGGTGTTATGAATGGAGAAAAAAAATTCAATTTTCTCCCATTTGTTTCTCCAAAGTTTCCGAGCAATATAAATATACATTTTAATGTTATATAGTGATTTTTTTTCGATTGTTCCAAATGCAGGTACATTTGTACGTTAATGATAATGCTCGGTGTTTATTCGGACAGAAGGACATGTACATTTGTCTTGTACTGTCTTTAAACTGATAGAATAACATATTTGTTTAATATCAACCAGACGTGTATTTTCGTTAAAGGTCCATTTATTAACAAGTGGTGGGTCATTCTATGTGTAGAATATATATATAAATATAATAAAAAAAATTAGAACCACCAAAAATAAGAACCTGCTGCTGCAGTTTGTGGAGTTTTGGAGTAGAATTTTTACGATTAAAACATTTCTTTGAATTAACCGACAGCAATTCAATTTAAAATAGAGGTAGAAAATTACATATTTTTACGTATGCAAATTTTTGTTTATGTAGTTTTTGTGAAGTGGGAGAAATGCAAGAATAAAATAAACTCGTAAATTCTAGAGTTTAAATACAAAATTTGATCAACCATTTTCGAAATCTACGCGTATATCCAGAGAAACTGACATGTCTATATCGGATTCTCGTAATGCTGAATAAGAATATATACTTTTTTGGAACCGTAAATCGTACATAAACCTTATACATATACCTCTTTCATCCTTTGACTACAGCGTATACAAATACTGGCTTATACGAAGGAAACTGACATAAAAATCGATGCAATGCTTACAAGAATTCCATTACCTGGGATTTGGGCTACTAACCAAAATAGTACGAAAAATGCGAATTTTGTCTCGGTCTTTCTATTTTACAATCGTTTGTTTAAAAGCTCTATTTTATAAGTGGAAACTATGTAAGTATGAAATTATAATTACAATTACTGTGTTATTCTTAGACAAAGTTAATATTGAATAGAATTAATGGTAAAATGGGTTTCCTTTTTGCCGTAAAGTATGGATTGGCCGGGAAACTTAAATTCTAATTTAGACACATTTCTTTATCATGATCTATATGAAGTTGTATTACAATTCTTGCATGCACTCGTATGTAGGTATGTTGGGTGTGTGACGGTTTAATATCGCCTACTGTTGTTGCGTCCGCGGTTTCTGCCGCTGCCACCCCCACCTCCTCCTCCACCCGAACCACCACTGGAATTATTGCCACGCCTGCGGCGATTGCCATGGTTGCTGTTGCTGCCACCCTTTTGGTACTGTTCGCGCTCATTAAAGTTATTGGCATCGCCAGACGATGAAGCTGATCCGCTGAACGATCCATTATTGCCACCATTGTAGCCATTTTGATTGCCATTGCTGGAATTGCCGCCATTATTACTAGCCCAGGGAGAGAAACTGGCATTGGATGCCCATGGACTTGGTCGGCTGGATGAGCTCTGCTGTTGTTGTTGTGGTTGCTGCGGTTGCTGTTGTTGTTGCTGCTGGTACTGTGAATCCATGGGGGAGCCACTCCCCCGGTTTTGATCGTCAACAAATTCTGTTTTCGGTTGCGGTTGCGCCTTCACCGCCAATAAGGACGGCAAAAATGGTTTTTTCAATAGCAGCAACTCACGCACACTCACGAGCTGCGCATTGTGCTGTCGGGGCTCGAAGCGCGACTTCTTGGGCGGAGGAGAAACTTCAACGCGAGCCTCTACTGTCGGCGATATGGAGCGAGACCGTTCACGGATAGGCACAACATCACGCAGCTCCTCCAGTTTGCCCGCATCAATGTATTTGTTGAGATAATCGGCACCTTGACGTACGGCTGCCATTAATCTGGAATCTGGATGCAGACGTATGAAGCGTCCATAGACAAATATGCCTATTATTGTCTGCGGATCGAGGCTATTCAGCATGCCGCTCGCCAAGATACCCTCGAGTGTGTTCTCACTAATCTGCTGATGTGTTAGACCATTGCTCGAGTCCTTATTCTCACGTGCCGCCAGTTCGTCGTGTATGCTGAGCAGACCGAGGTCGTCGGCCCGTCTTGGACCTGCCCAGCGTACCTGAAAGTTATGTGGGATGGGTTTGCTGTAAGGGACCTTCTTCTCACGATCGCGATCACCGGCCGCTTTACTGGGATCCAAGTCCAAACCGGGAATGAAGCCCTTATCGGCTGTGAGGCTTTCGGTGAACTCAACTCTGTCCTCGGGACCCATGCCGGGAATGACGGCGTCATCTGTAAGTTTAAATTTCGTTTATTAAAGTTACTTGTCCACCCCATTCCCGAGAGCATACCATATTCGCACTCATCCAATGCTGCCAAGCTGGCCGGCAAGGTGTTTAAATTGTATTTGTCACGCATCAAGTCGCCGGGTCGATTGCGTGTCCAAAACTTAATGGTGTGGTCATTTGAACCGGAGCAGAGTATGTGACCAAGCGGATGCCAAGCCAGTGTCCAGACTATGCTGTCATGCGCAGTCTCGACGCCGCCAATTTCCTTGTCCGTACTGAAATTTATTAAAATATAATTTATAATTTCATAAAAGGCTATTGATAGTAGACCACCAGTTATGATACTCACCCCACATTCCAGAAGAGAATGGAACCATCTGAACCGCCTGAGCAGAAGAGACCCTCGTGTATAGGATGCCAGGACACTGAGCTAGCCTCCTTCTTATGACCACGAAAGACCTGCACCTCCTCGCGTAAATTACGTATGTCGAATAGTTTTAGCAAATGATCACGCGAGGCAGTTACCAGCCAGTTGCCATTGTCGTTCCACTTAAGGTCCATCACCGTGGACTTGTGGGCATGGCTACAAAAACGCAAATATGTGTGTATGTGACAAATTGGAAGGAAGACCAATAAATGATGCTGCTACTCACAGTGTGGCTAGAGCAACGCCGCTCTTGGGATCCCATATCTTTATCGGCTGTTGATTATCCTTGCTGCCGCTGACAATTAATCCCTTCTGGGGATGCCAGTGCACGCACTTGACATCCGCGCCATGCCCTAAGCATTGAAAGAAGTTTAGCAATGGTGATCCCTATGGGACAACCTGCAAGTGCCTTGTCGTTTACTTACCGCGCAAGACGCGCTCCTCCTGACAGCGCATGAAATCCCAAATGCGCAGGGTTCCATCATCGCTACCGCTGACAAATTTGCTGTCCGTGGGACTGAAACTGCGTTTGTGGATTGCATTTTAGATTGTTAGAATGTATAGCACAAGTAGGAGCGTAAGTTATGGTGTGTATTCAAAAAAACAAAAAAAAAAGAAGGTAATTTAGCAATTGAACAACTTTATTTACATTTTTCATTTAACTGGAAATCTGTCGATTGGATTCGCTTCAATTGGCAACAATTTTAAACGCCAAAATCAAATTGTGCTCGATGTTTGTCGAGCCAGCAGCTTCTTGAAAGAAAACACTGAACCCCCAATTTTTTTTATAAAAATATGTTGCTTTGCATTTTATTAATTGTTCGGTGGCCGCGCAATAAAAAATTATGCAAATATGTTTATGGGTCAAAAGACGTTTTTATTTGTTGCATTTTGTCAGGACACAATAGTATTTGTGTTGTTTGCTCTCATCATATATATATATGTGTATATTGTATGTATATTGTATTGTATGCATGTAAATTCGTTTAATCAAGCAGTCTTGGGCATGGTTTATTAAGTAAATATGCTATAACACAGTACAAATTACATTCTTAGTCAGGTTTCGTAAATTCGTGTTTTATCTTAATTAGCTGGCCAAGCATTTGGGTTCCGCTTTTTCGAAAATTAGTAACTAACGCGCGCAACCGCACCTAAAAGCTAGTAACACATAGAAAGGGCATGTTGCTCAAATGACGGCTTTATTGTTATGCAACAGCGAACCGCGACTAGCAAATCAAATATATAAGTATGTAAGCCCACAAACGCGACCCCAACAAATGCGATGAGAAAGGCGAGCCTAAACTGAAGCTGCACTATAAACTTGCACCGGTTTGGAGATCTTCTTCTCAAACACATGCCTCTGCCTCGATGCCTGACAGCTGCTGCGAAATGGTAAATACATTTTACAATTACAATTAGTATGCAATACCTTATTCCCCTAATCGCCTCCTTGTGCGCTTGATACATCTTAACGTTGTTCATGTTCGATTGCCAGTACTTGACGTAACCACCGTGATCGCCAGTAACCATCCAGCTGTCATTGTGGGACCAAACCATTGTGCGCACTGAAACATCGTGAGCCTGGAAGCACCAAAAGGGAAGCAATTTAGTCAACGTGTCAGGCTAATGATAGTTACCTCGCCAAATCATTGGACCTACCTGTAAGATTGTCTCGAAATTGAATGTTAAGCCGTTCCATAGCGTGAACTCGCCAGAGCTAGCGCCAGTGACCAATCTTCTGCCCTCTGGCGTCCAGGCAAGCGTAAAAATGGGACACCGCATTTTATTCGTGGCTGTTTTTACAAAGCGTGTCGTCACTGAATTCGAAGGATTATCCAAATAACTAGATGGTGGCAACATTTGGGGCACATAGATGCTGTCTGGTTGGAGGGCCAGGCGATCCCGATAGTCACGCTGCCAGAGGCGCGCCTGCAAAAACATTTGGGATTAGTTCTCAGTTGACTACGAAGATTAATCACTTTACCTCCAGTGCCTTGATAATGGACGCATTGTAGTCCACTGTTTTTCGCATCACACTCTTGCGCAATCGCTTGCCATCGAAGTCGTCCTGGGACATGCCAAATGGTCGTTGGAAGCCGCCTGGCACAAATGGCTTAAAGTGATTGTAGCCCTGTTTGCCCTGGCCATGGTGCGGGTGGTAGTGTCTGTAGTGCGGCCCACCCATAGAAGGAGGCGGCAGAGATGTGGCATAGGTTGTGGCTAGCGCTGATGGCGCCGTTAGTAGTTGCGGAGGAGGCTGAGATACGTCCATTTTCGTCGTGCACTGAGTGAGAGTCCTTATTGGAAGGGAGAGGATCGATTCCTTTTTATTGACTGGCTCGATTTTCACAATACTTCTTGTGCTCTTCTTTTATAACACACACACACGCACACACACAACGTGGCCCAGCCTACTGCGACAAGAAAAAAACCCGTCTCTTATATTTGCGTATCGCGTGTTTGGTCCGGCCGGTTTTTAACCCGTTCTACATATTTATACGGCATCACATAGCATTTGGAAACGTATCTTTTCAAATTTAAAATTCTGAAAGATTAACTTTAATGCCAATGCTATTGTAGAAAACGCGCAGCAACTGTCAGAGCTGCCAACTTGCTTAATTGACAGTCTGAATGCAGATTTTTTCATGATTTTGGAAGATTTGTGGAAAGTGCGCGAGTGGGCAGTTTTTGCCAGTTACAGCAATAGTTCACACAGAGTGACCAGAAACTAATAAATTTTTCTCATAGTCTATCCGAAATTCCCCAGAGAATATTTTGTCCTATACTTTGTAAAACATTCTACAAATGTGAGAAATATGCATTTGTTTTGAAAAGGAAATTTGAGTAGGCATCGCAATTTTATAAAAAGTGAACTATACTACATCAATTTTAAATTGATTGTAAAGCTAGTAATAAAGAATGTAAGTGAACAAATAACAATGTTAGTTGCTATTGTTAAATTCAGTAATGAACTTCACTGTAAATTTAAATATCGATATATGTTGGCAAATGGTTAGTAGTGCTGTAAAGTGTAGGAGAGCTTATAACGTGCTGCCACACATTTCGCTTGTGCTAGCATTGGAGTGACCAGGTGAGAAGTCAGTGATGCCTCAAGGCGGGCTTGTGTATTTAAACTATTAATACGCGCGCTCTGTACGTCAGTCACTTTTTGGCTGCTCATCCGCACGGTAGTTAGTTCGGCAGTTATCGCTTCGAAGTAACCGTCTCGAGTGTTGTGTGTAAACATTGATTTGTTAATTAAAGTTACACTTACTAAATACAATAATTCAAGTTGTATTAGAGTCATAAATTGAATGATCTTAATAATTTGCGTTGTTTGAAAAGTTCACAAACTGTAATTATACTTGTTTTTGGGGTGATAACTAACTATAACTATATTTAATACAACTGACAAGCGACTCGTTTAAAAAAAATAAAAGCTTTTCAGCCACATTATAAGATACACTCGCAGAGGGCAGAGCAAACACTTTAAACGACTAAAATGCAGACAGTCATTAAGTAAGTTGTTGCACAAAAAGTACAAGCAATATTTAAATATTATTACGTCAGGGACATTGTATTTAAATTCACGTTGTATTTATTTATATTTGATGGGGCACATCACAAATAGACGCGTTGCAGTCAAGATACATACAACAGCAACAAAAACAATTGCTTAAGTTTCACCTGCAGATCGATTTTATTGTATTTGCTGAGAGCAAACTTTTGGTTTGCCATCCGTCGCATTCGTCTGGGCCGAAAAGAAAGTTGCGCATGTTTATTAAAACAAGTTAGCGGAGTCGGCTTAAAGTCAACTCGATAGCCGCTGCTCGCGCATAAACAACAAGAAAAAGTAATTTCAATCAAACATGGGCACGAATTTGCAGTGACATTTTCCTTTCGTTTAGCACATCAACTCATTAGTAATCTTTGTTTAACACGGAGCATCGTTTGCATATTGAATTTCTTTACAGTTTTATATATGGACAAAAATTATGGTATTAAACGAAAACTTAGATATTATTTCGGGGCTCCTCAAACTGGTTTATCATCTTGGTTTTTTTTAGCAGTTGTAAAGTCTTTCTTACGACGAAAATCAAGTTTCTCTACCTAAAATCAAAATAAAGAGCGACAATTTTATAATTACAATATTTTATGCCCATGTTTACTTGTGGCAGCTTTGATGATTCATTGATAGAATTTAGTTAATTAATTGTGTTTCTTTTTGCTTGTACCTTTTGGAACTTGTTTTTTTTTTGTAGTTTTTATTTTTAATTATTCAGCAAAAATTTCATTTAAAATACAGCAGGTGTGGATAAAGTTTGGTTTTATAACAGTATTAATATAAGAATTTAAATACGCGTTATAATTAATAGATTCATAATTTTGACTATAATTTTTACACGTTTTTTTAGATTTTTATTTTAAATGTTTGTGCTGCTATAAAATCTGAGCTACTTATATAATGTATTTTATACCATATATTTTCCTAACAAGATTTTTCATTTATAAAAGAGCTTCAACTTAAGAGCTAATCGTTAAATTAAGATTAACAAAATTGTAATATTGTTTTTAGGCGAATTTAATTTTTAAGCGAGTTAGCTGAGACGGCTCGAACACGAGACACAGAAAACTGTTTATTTTGTTTTTGTTTTACTAAAAACACGTTTTTAAAATCATGTTATTAATTGAAGCGGATAAATACGGTTGAATATACATAAATCGTTATTCATTTAATATCGGTTGGTTTCAGTGTTCATAGTAGGTCGCAGCCAATTCTGGATGAAAAGGCTTAAAAAGCAGTTAAACTGTCGAAATTATCTTTCAGGTGTCTCGGACAGATGACGTGATACTCTAATCCTAACGTTATTGCTTTATAACCCAACAGCCCCCATTTGATCAGCAGCTGTAAATGCAACAAGCAAGTCATTAACCCTGCCATCGAATGTAGAGAATGTAAATATTTGCGAGCTCGGTCTCAGAGTTGCTAACCGAGTGTGTTTGGTTGGTTGTTGATCCACATAGCTGCGCTTACCATAACCAGCTTATCATCACCTATGTAGTCCAATGGGGCATATGAATAAGACAATGTGTATATAAATATTTACTGCTGGAACAACAGCACCAGTCCATCATCTAACGTTCTTGCAGCCCAACGAGCCTCATGGTTTCTTATCGCACGGTGTAAGTTGATTTAAATAATACCTATACCTGTGTTGGCCATTATAATTGCTGCTTTCGTCCTCCCTTTAATCTATTGCCGCTATAACGGTTACAACACGCAATGACAACAACACAAAATATCTTGCAACTGACAACTGTGTTGCATTCGATTTTCCGCATATTTACACAAATCGTGTACTTAATAATATGATAGCTTTTGACAATTTTAGTCGCACTCTGATTATTAACTATGCGAATATAAGACATTCAATTACACAGCAGTTAGGAAAAATGCCTTCATCTAGTAAATACTTTTCTCACGCGTTCTCTCAATTGTTCACATACGCCTCCAAAAACAAAATTATTTGCATTGTCTCTAAAACAAAGAGAATATTCGTGACAATACCATAAGGGTACAATTTAATTTTACCTACAATTCTGAGTCATCCAATTCAAATATACAGATGACTAACTTTATTGCAATTAAGAACATAATATTGTAGAGGTAGATATCGATCCTAACATAAGCGTCCAAAAAATAAACCTTAAGTGGACTCAAACTAATGAATGCTTCTATTACGTATTCAATATACCAGTACATAGGTACAACAATATACGAAATGCATATCACATTAGTTTAAACTGATCGTTGACCAAGATGAAGAAGCGAAATTAAATGTTTTCTCTTTATAAACTTCATTCAAAATGTAAAATTAAAGTTATTTCGACCTTTTGTGGGCCAGTAAGTATCTAAGACTTAACCGGATGAATTTGATCCAATAAAGTAAGTACTAAGAGTGGGCAATATGACAGCAAAAATTAAAAATGAAATTAATTGACGGAAAGAAATAAACGGCGAAAATGTTTGCTTGAATATTATCGATAACTCTTTGCTTGCCCAATGCAATCAAACCATAGACTTGATTATACGATTTCCTGCAAAGAATGCGGTCACCCTAATACTAAAATATAAATCATTTAGCTTTTCAAATTGAATTTTTTTAAAATCGATTAAAAATTCAAATATAGGAAAACATGGAAACATAGGGAACAGCAATTTTGGATAATAGAAGAATTTTTTAGAAGCAAGAACATAACAAGGCTTACACGGGGTTAATAGGGATTTTACGCTGGCATCGCAATGTCTTCACTGCTTTATTTATTATAATGATTAAAAAATAAATGCAATTTTTGCATTGAGTCCATGATAGCAATGTTTTCTGCGACTGTTTCATCAAGTGTAAAAAACCGTATTTCAATCTTAAGTTAAAAGTCCTCAGCATATTATTCCTAGCCTGATCCCGTCAGATACCCTCGTCAGTTACTTTCTCGATATCGTGTTTTCAAACTGATTCAAAACTGAACCTATGTGAGTTATTTTTTTTAAAACAATCAGTTATATACAAAGCTTGTATCTTTGGCTTGATATAATAAGTATTATACGAATAAAGAGCACGTGTGTTTGGGTCTCCGACTTTAAAAGCACGCGATAATAAATTTTGCATTGTCAGCAAAGATTTGCCACGCTTTTGTATTAATTTAAGGTTCATTATTTTATAACTTTTATTTATATGTATGCGTATTTGTTAGTAAGTCACTTATACACACATACATGTGTATAGTATAGTATGCCTCGAGTGTTGACTTTTTGACTTGAATGTTGCTTTTTAATTTTGTTGTTGATTGTTGTTGTTGTTTTTGTGTTTTGCTATTTTTTTTGTGACGCGTATGCAAAATTCGTAAGTTTTGTTTAGGTGAACCCGAAGGTCACATTTTGTTTCTACATATGTGAATGTATGTATATACGCACACACATACATACATATGTATGTATGTATTTTGTGTTTTTGGTCAAAAAGGTCATCTTCAAATTGTTTCATAAAAGTGTGCTCCGTCTTTGGTGCAAGCAAATAAAATGTGATATAGTATAAGTGAAAAATCTAGCTACATACTATATGTATAGAGATCATAAAAGTGAACGATAAAAGAAGCGCTTTGTGCTCCTAAAAAGTCGCACCTTAAATGTTCAAACTTGTTGCTAAGCTTACTTCTTTGGTTATACTCTTAGTGTGTTGCTGTGGTATGTGGGACAACCAAAAGCAACAACTAAAATGCAAAAATCAACAAAAAACAATAAACAGCAAGAGCCGCGTAGAATGCTAGCCATAAAGCATACAGCCAACAAGAAATCAGCCAAGAATTTTCAGCCATATCGAGTTTTCGAGTTGCTGTTCAGTTCAGTTTGTTGAACAATGCACGAGGCTCGGACGTTTATGGGCATCCATAGGCAAGATTTCATATTTCGTTGCACTTGGTTATTTGCTCAAATTGCATAATTAAATGCACGCAGACCTTAACTTGGTCAATTTGGCCTGACTTGGCCAGCAACTCCAGCTATGGTTATGGGCGGTTAGTTGTGAGCTGGCAGCTTGAAGCTTGCGGCTTTCAACTTATTTGCGGGTTGCCTTGTGGCCACATTTTCTATTGTCTGTGGTTTCCATTTTATTTTTGTTGAAGGTGAAGTTTTCGCTTCAAAATGAAGCGTTTCAAACCAATGTCCATAGTTAATTAACCTGGCTAAGCCTTCAAACCTGCAAGACAGCGTCATCTTGAAGGCGCGAAATGCTAAAATGCAATATATATCCAAAATTTATTTAATTACTGACCTACCCTGCTTTCGATTACCTTATTCCTCGCCCATAAGTGCACATTTATGAATGTTTGAAGAGTATTCGCTTCCATTCTTCAACTTATTCAATTGAAACTGGCGACGACACGACTTATTGAGTGTGCCTTGAAAAGAGAATTGAAATGCAACAGCACTGTTTATTATTCTTATTTATTGATAAATAAGCCGAATGCCAAGTCATGAAATTGAAAAGCATTTGAATACATAAATTCTAAATAATATTATACTTTCTCTCTCATCGCCAATGATTTCATTTTTATGCTGCATATTGACAAACTTGAATCGAAATCGGCTCATTTGGGGTGGCAGCCAGTTATGTACAAGTATGCTGTTGGCAGTGAAAGTGTGCGACGAACTTGCAGAAATTTCAATGCTGCATCTATTACTCCAAGAAACAAAAAACAAAACGCATACCTGTTAGGCTAATAAACACGAACCGGTCTCTGGCAGTTATCTGTTTCTACAAATGAATACAATCTTAGACACTTATGTGGCTACAAAAAGCTCTATCACAATACTATATTGTCGGCAAAGACTTATCCTTAAGGTCAATAGAGTGACCAATTGACGGCGAAATTTCAGCCTGGCTTCTGAGTATGTCATCTATTTTGTGGTTTCAGATTATATTTTCAACTAAATGATATTACAGATTTTGTCTCAATAGATT